CCATTCTCACTTAAAAAGCAAAAATCTCATTACTTGCACTTATGTCAGTTCCCTTAGCTATAAAGCAACTACTGAGTTATGTTTCCAATTACGAGAAAAGCTAATAGTTACAATAAAGCATTTTTCACAATATATATAACATAAACTAAATATTAAATATAAAAATTAAAAGGCATAGTATTTAAATATTAATTAATGAATATTTGTCATCCTGTTACTGTTAACACAGGGAAACCTAAAACATGACTGAATGTGCTTGTTAAAAAAAAGCAACTAAGGACAGATGTGTCGTTTACAAGAGAACTATTAGAAATACTAGATGATAAAATTGTGTAGTTGAAAGAGGGTAGTTTTTAAGAATCCCACCTGAGCCCCTACTCCACTTCTTTTTAGTTATTCATTTTTGGGATTTCTCTCTGTATTATTACATGAAATAATAAAAACAAATGCTGATATAGTGCCTACTACGAGGGTACTTCAAAAGGTTCATGGAAATAGTTGTATGGTCTTTTAATGCTATTTTTCCATGAACTTTTTGAAGTGCACTCATATGTGCTAAGCACTATTCTAGTTGCTTTATGTTTATGAATTCATCTAGTCCTCAGAGCACCCACTGTGTGGGTGAGGGAACCGAGGCGCAGAAGTCACTCGCCCATGGCTACACAGCCTGTGGACTTGCACATGGAGAGTCTGAGCGCTGAGTCCGTGCAGAGCACTGTGACACAGCTGGAGTGCTTCCCGTGAGGGTTAAGCCTGTACCTCCTGTTTTTAGAGTAAGCCAATAAAACCAGCATGAAAGCACCTCATGCAGGGTAAATGTCCAATAAATGTGAAAAATCAAATTAAACTGTATTCCCACTAGAATCAAATAATCATCTTAGCTGACTTAAGATCTAGTCCTCAGTCATTATAGCTGAAGTTATAAATATGATGACTGCTCATATATGGTTATGCAATTTCTACCCTATCAGCTGGTTGTCTCTGACGTGGAAAGGTGCATTTGGAACCACTATTAATTCCTTTAATTAATCAGATTACCAGACTAGCCTGCTTGATTCAATAAGCTCATCAATTTGTATAGGATTTAAAAGAGAGTTTCTTTCTTGAGCTTTGATTTTACTTGGCAGATTAAATGGATGCTGTGAAGGGTCCCCAACCCATGAAAAGAAAATCATTATGAAACATTCTGCCCCAGTAACCTATCCTTCTTGTGTCTTGATCCTCACCTGAGGCTGTATAAATCATAACCCCCTTTCATGCTTTTGGAAAGTACTGAAGCCACAGAAGCCAGCCTGGTATCATTCTGGAAGTGATGACATATGCCGTCTTTACCACATTCTTGCAGGTGGCATTTCCACTAAAGTTCTTCCAAGAAATGCTTTAACAAAAGATTCCACTAATTCACTTGTACCAACTTACCTCTGGGCAACTGACCGGCTACTTCTTAATGGAAAGTGAGGATCTACTGTTAAACTAACAATTCCAAGCACAAGCCTTTGTTCAAGATGAGTCTTAAATATGTTTTGTTGTTTAGGCTACTATTATTAGAATGTTAATCTGAAAGTGAAAAGCTTCCACTTGAGGAATGTGGTTTTCTTAATTAAGCTTTAAGAGTGGCCTTGGGAAGGCAATACATTTCATCATGTAGCTGACAAGAGAAAAGAAGTAATGTTTGTACGTGGAAAATTCACCTTCTTACCTCCTCTTGGGTTTTACATAGGCCCGTCTGCCTGTAAAATGGATGGCTCCTGAAAGCTTATTTGAAGGCATCTACACAATTAAGAGTGACGTCTGGTCATACGGAATATTACTCTGGGAAATATTCTCACTTGGTATGTTTGGCAGTTTGCTGCCCTCCCTGGGCTCAGGGCTTTGCACATTCTGCTCTTTCTGCACCCCTCCCCCACTCTGCTACCTCCTAAGTCAGAGCATGTGTGACAGACATGTCGCCTCGATTGCTCCCATAGCTTGCTGGTCTTACTATTCTTTTGGAGCATGTGCCACTTTATGCTTTATTTGCTGGTGTCCATAGGTCTGCCTTCCCCACTGTCTATAATCTGCTTAAGAGCAGGCACCCTGACTTTTTATTTTCCAGTTGTAGCCCTAGCACCAAATAGTGTCTGGCACATCAGAGCTCTCAATACATATTTATTAATTTGATGAATAAATAAACAAATGAAGAAATGAATGAATGGCTATATTTCTCCAATGTTTTTCTCAGGTGTGAACCCTTACCCTGGCATTCCAGTTGATGCCAACTTCTATAAACTCATTCAGAGTGGATTTAAAATGGATCAGCCATTTTATGCTACGGAAGAAATGTAAGTTCAAATCAGACTGTAAATTGGTTGAAATCAAATTTACAGTAAAACTTATTAATGCAAAGTTCATATGATTCCTCTTAAAAAAGGAAAGAAAACTCTTCTTTTTGTTTTGGGGATTTCTGAACAAAACTAAACCTTTTCTGTCCTCAGAGGCACCTACTTCCACATTTTAGTTCCTTTCCTTGAGGCATCCCTGAGGGCGATTAGACTCCATTTCCTCTGTCATATTTCTTTAAATGCATTTCTGCCCATCCTCTCATTTTTCCATTCTGATATGAGTTTAAAATCTAGTGGAGTATTTGCTACAAAACAAACATGCCATAAATAAGTAGCTCTGCAGGAATCAATGGTGCTTTATTACTATATGGAAAACGGTCTAGTTTGCTTTATTCAGATTTCCTCATCTTGTTCCTTATGCTATTATTGCTTTTGCAGATACTTTATAATGCAATCCTGCTGGGCTTTTGATTCAAGGAAACGGCCGTCCTTCCCTAATCTGACTTCATTTTTAGGATGTCAGCTGGCAGATGCAGAAGAAGCGGTATGTAGCAGCGAGGAGTTTATAGAACATTATCGTAAAGGAAATTGGTAATTTAAAATACTTACTGGTGACTTCCTAAGAATCCAGAGGTACCAGGTCATCTTTGTCACCACAATTTGTTTTGTTTACCCTTTAAAAGTTGTATGGGGTGAGACATATTTATTGATAAATTAAAAAAAAAAAATACCTTTTCTGAAGATTTCAGCCAATTGATCAATAAGTTAAAAGCTCTTAACTACCAGTGCAC